ACTGTGACTGTGTAGGTCTCCTATCTCTCTCCCATGTTGTTTTCCTTCCTCCTTGGTTTGAATCTCCCACTTAATCTCCCTCCTCCTGGCATTGGTCTACAACTCAACCAATGTCTGATAAGACGAGTTCGCCATGATCTGCCGAATCTCCCTCCTAAAGATGCTCAAATACCGACTCATACGTGCCTGCTCCGTGGACACGTGCTCAGGGCAGAAAATCTCCCTCTCATGAAACATCCGCATAATATCAGTCACTAACCCTGTCTTCTGCTTGAGAGATATAAACTCATGTGCCAAATATTCCCTCTCCACCTAGGGAACATAGTCATCTCTAAACAACTTGGTGAACCTCTCCCAAGTCACTGCAGCATGATCTGCAGGGGTAAAATCAGTCATCACAAAATTCCACCAGTCATTCGCTCCTAAGCGAAGCTGGTTTAGTGTGAACCAGACTCTCAGATGCTTTGGACACGAACACGTATAAAAGCATCCCTCAATGTTAGCGATCCATATCATGATAGAAATTAGATCTTGTGTCCCATCAAACTCTGGTGGCTTTGTGTTGTTGAACTCCTGGAACAACAACGAGTCACCTCCCTATGGCCTAGCTGCATCAACAACTGTAGTGGCTGCAACAGCAGCAACCTCTATAACGGCGACGTATCGCTCGTCAAACGTCTTAAACAGTGTGATCTTAATAGAACCAAACATCTCCAATATCGCCTCTCAAATGGCTGCGGCCACCTCATCATGGATGATCCTGTGGATCTCCTCATCACTGTTGGATTAGTGTCTAAGTCCATAACTATTTTGGTATGTACTTGACCCGATTATGAGCATGGTCCTTTTGGGTTGCCTTCACCATAGCAATATGTAGGATGATTTAAGGAGAGAAAGGTTTAAATATGATTTATTAATATATTATGAGAATAATATATTAAAGGAGAAATCATATTGGTTAATTAATATTAGTCAAGAATTAATTAAGAATTAATTTTATGGCTAAAAGAGATTAATTAAATATAGGGGACTGGACTACAATTATTGGATAATTGAGTTATTGGGCTAAGGAATGCTAAAGGAATAAGGGGTGAATGAAATTATGATGGAAGCCCATCATATTTTCGTCCATAGCCTTGTGCAGAAGGTTCCATGGGCTGCTTAGAGTTTAAGCTGTCCATTAGGGTTTTGACTGAAACCCTAGCAGCCCACACAAGTATATAAAGGACCCCTTAGGCCCCAAAAACGTGCACAACTGATTCTCTAGGGTTTCTAGTCGTTTTTGGGCAGCCTCTCTTCTTCTCCTCTTCATCCAAGTTGCATATGGTGTTTGTGACTCCATTAGAGGTGCAACACTCGAGGCACTAAGCTTTTGAAGCCAATCCAAGCAAGGAATTGATTGTTATTGCTATATAACAATTAAAGGTAATTCTATAAACTCTAATTCAGTTTATAATATGTTAGATCTAAGTTTATTAGTCTTGGATTCAAAGCATGTACAATAGAGAAACCTAGATCCAAGCATTAGGATTTGTATGAGCACATAGGATTGTTCTTATGCCTAAAACTCATCAGTGGTATCAGAGCCTTGATTGGTTTCTGTTGTATGTGATGCTATGTTGAATTATTTACTGAAAATCGAGTTTCTTGCCTCTGACCGACTCAACTCGGCGAGTCAGTATCTGGACTCGGCGAGTCTAGGTCTGACTCGGCGAGTCAGTGTGTCAGGCAGAGGGTATTTCGGGTTTTAGTTGCTGTTTTGACTTGGATTTGATGCTTAAATTGTTTTATGAAGTTAAAAATCCGAATTTTATCTTAAATTATGAGTTCATCCTTGCCAAAAAAATAGATAATTTCAAATCTTTTAAATATTGGTTGTTTATATGATAAATATGGATTATTTAAAGTTATTTGGTAATTATCTAATGACTAAAATAAGATTAGGTCAAATATAGATAATGAATAATTTAATTGTTTAACTTATATTATTTTTTATTTGATCCTTTGTGATGTGAAAAAGTTTCAATTGCACCCTTTAGGTTTTATAGTTTAAATTTGAACTTAAAAGTTTTTGTTTATGAAATTTAAATAAGTTCAACCCTAATGTTTCGAAATGTTTTAAAACTTGCCCTCAAGTTTTGGAATTTAAAAGTTGATTAAAAGTTTAATTTTGAAATGTTAATTTCTAAAACCCTAGTAATTTGAAAAGTTCAAATCATACCCTTATGGTTTTATTAATTAATTAAAATGTATAATTAAAAGTGATTTAATAAACCCATAAACTTTTGGTTTACATTTAATTAAATTAAAGGTATAATTTACTAAGATAAACCACCTAGTATTTTAAAAGTGTAAAATACACCCTATACTATATATAACATTGAAAGTCTAATATTATATATGTATGAGTAAACAGTCAGTCTTACCGTTAGTAGGCCTCATTCACGAAGTTGGTCTATAAGGGGTGTTTAAGGAAGTTGCCTATAAAATGGCGATTGAATGGGTATCCACTCTTACCCACCGCACTCTTGACTAGTAGAGGGTCGTTAGCTGAATGGGTAGGATAGGACAGAAACCTTCCATTATAAGTATAATGAAGTACAAAGTAACTAAATGCTTATACAAATTCCCAAATCATAGTTACTTTAGGCAAAATGTGAAATTGTATGCTAACCCATGGAATTACACTTCGTACCCTTGTCAAACGTTAGTGGAGCGTGTGTGGTTAACCGGCACACTAATTTGGGGATGACATTGGCGGCGAAGGGTGGCTCGATACTTATCATAGATCAATGGAGCGTGTGTGGCTAACCGGCACATTGATTAGGTGATAGTAGCATTGAGTGCACCACGTGATACATATGGTTATTCACACCTTGTTTGTGATCCTCGGCATCCCAGTCACAAATAGTAGGGCATAATCGAGATTAAACATGCCATTGAAAAGTTCAATGAATCTCAAAAGATCTAGGAGTTTCAATTCATTTAAAACTTAAACTTTTTTTTTTTCGTTTTTCATGATGGAAATTGGTAAATCGTCATTTACCTACCTTCAAATATTCTGCAACTAGATTACGGCATCCCTCTTCTAGGTTGTAGAGTATTGTGTTGGATCCTAGCTTGATGTTTCATTTGGGTGTTACATCAAGAATTCTAATCAACATAACTTGAATTTTCTCCCATTTTGTAGATGTCTGAATCTTACATTGGTCTTCCCAAATCCTTTGGAACAAGCTTTCCAAATGAAGATGACGTTCCGAGATATGATCAAGGAAATGAGAGTTATGCTTCACTTCCTCCACCTCCTCCAATTGTTTTCCCTGACCCACAAGTTCAAAGGATTGAAAAGTTTAAGCTCACTCAAGCCCTTTTGGCAAGTAAGCACGAAGATGGGAAACCTGTGAGTGTGTACGTCTTAGAGATGAAGTCACACATTGATAGGTTAAGCATGTTGGGTGTCGAGATTTCAAGTGAGTTGGCTATTGACTGGGTTCTTTAGTCACTTCCTGAATCATACAGTGAGTTCATTAGAGAGTACTATATGATGGACCACGACGTGACCCTAATTGATCTCACCTATTTTCTTATAGCTGCTGAATCAGCAATGATTTGGCGTGATGGTCAAGCAAATTTGTCTGGTGAATCAAACTCCCAAACTTCAAGGGACACTGGCAACATTGGAAGTCCAAAAAGAACTAGGTCTATGATTATCCAATGTGTTGTGCCAAAGGAGTCCATTTGTTTTCATTGCCAAGAGAAGGGGCATTGGAGACGAAGCTGCCCAAACTACCTGAGAGATCTAAGAGATGGGAGAGTCAAGATGTATGGCTCTACTTCAGGTAAAATCCATTAACCGACTCTTTTAAGTTCCTTTTCTAGATTCTTAATACATGATGTGATAAGATTACATTTTGATGTTTTGTAGGATCGAAGAAAAGAGAGGAAGCTTAAGGAAAGAGGTGAGCTGAATCTAATCTTGAAGAAATGGATTTCGATCGCATTACTTGAAGAATGGATTCTTGAGCTACTACTTGGAGTTAGAATAGATTGTTAAGAAATGTGTAATGACATAGTTTTTCAATTGAATTGCATTGTAAGGACAAATTTTTCCGCAATAAAATGAATTTTGATTTTATCTTATTTGTTTATCCTTGCAATGAAATATATGAAAATTTGATGTTTGTGTACTTCTATTATTAGCAATAATGGATTTGATTCTTAATTGTATTATTTGTGGACATATCAAAAGCTTACCAAATAGGGAGAGTTTCTCATCACCCACTACTAGAAATATAGCCTTTTACGACGCGCGAACAACGACACGCGCTGTTTTATGATACGCAATAGTGTGCGCCCTAAAAATAATGTCGGATCTCCAAAAATTAGAAGGATTTAGGGCATGCATTTTTGTGCGCCCTAAAATAAGTGTTACATTAAAAAAAAAACACGGAGGGCACATAACATAAAATGCGCGTCCACTAAGTATGTCGCTTTATATTTTTTAAATGAAACGCGGGTCACTTTTTTTTTTGGGGAAAACGAAATTCCAAAAAGTTTTGAAAGGCCCGCCATGTTCCTACCTTGAAACACAGGTCTCTCTCTCTCTCTCTCTCTCTCTCTCCTGCTATACCTTGATGAATTATCGCATACAGATGGAGGAACTCCTCCAAAATTCATTCCTTCCTTCTCCCTTCAATCAATCAGATGTATTCTTCCCTCTTCACACTTCGATCGACAAATCAGGCCACCAAAAATCACCGATTATCTTTTTCTTTCTCAAAATCAATCGCACCTCCAAGAACCACAAGTATTATTTTTTTCCCTTTCTGGTTCGATTAATCCTAGTAAGACATCGACCTCTGTTTCTACACCATTATCGTTGTCTAACAAGGATGCCTGACATACCTTTAGTTTCTCGTGAAGTCAAGTATGTAATCTTTTTTCATAAAACCCATACAGACTAGGGCTTTTTAAAGAGGAAGCCAGAGGACGAATTCATCATGGATCGGAGGATCACCTCATCTGATGATGCAGCTCAACAAGATCTAGTATCTGAAATTCACGGTGAGATCAAAATCCTTAACTCTGCTTTTTCATTGAACGAAGCAGATCAAAATTTTAGCTGGTTCAATTGCGGGTCTATCTTTCTCTTTTAGCATTAGATGATTCCAATCGAAGGCGTAAACTTGCTTTATATATTCTTGCAAGGCTTGCTCATGTAGATAATTAAATTGTCATGTAATCTATGTTTTGTATCGTGTAAGACGTAAGTTTTCAAATTTTAGTTTTTTCTCCTGCTCAACAGTGTGCTTATAATTCTGCAAAATCAATGAAAAAGTTCACCCTTTGGGGAAGCTCATAGAGACACAGGGATTCATTACTCTTGCTTTATGATGTGCTCAGGTACATATTGATTCTTAAATTTTACATCTTTTCCTTTTAATAATCTTACATTTTGTTCAACAATTTTAAGTCATGTATGCTTTTGTAATGCAACCCAAAATCTTAACAAAATCATACTAAGATTTTTATCAAAAAATTGGCCCTGTTACTAAACCCGTATACAAAGCTATAAGGAAATGTTGTAGAGGTTCCCTAGTAGATATTGCATCACTCTCTTCTACCCATCAACTATAAACGATTCTGAATTTAATGATTTACAAGAATACCCTTCTACCAATACCCTGTTTAAAAATCCAACCATCCACAAAATCATGTTTGGCTCATAACGCATACTCCACATCAGCAACATTCAGGAAAACATTCCCACTTTATTTCTCTTTGACTTTTGTAGCCTTTGTTGTCCTTTTTCTTCAAAAGTTTATGGATGCGCCATTTAAGACTAGTTGGCATGCAGTGATTGGAGTTGTTGTACTGATTTGCAGGTGGATTAGCTACATTATCAGTGCTTTGGGAGAAGAAAGGAAGAAGATGAGAACTTGGATTGTTTGTTCTTCCATGTGCTGGGGAATCTTTTTTGTATATATTAGTCAACCGCCTTGTTCTTCCAGATATCAAAATTGCTGAGGTACTATACTAAATTATGCGTTCTACCCAAAAAAACTTGAGAAATTACATATGGATCAATAAAATGTGTTGTTTTGGGGATTGTATGGACAATGTTTTCTAACATTGGAAGCTTAACTGATATGTTATTTCTAACTTTTTTTTTTATTAATTTACAATAAAAAAAACTTGGATTTGAAAATAATTTATAGGTTAAATATGTGTATGAATATAAGAAAGAGTTGTTTTATTCAAGTGTTTTAGCTAACACCATGAAATGGTAAAACGTAAGTCATTATAGTGATTCTAGCTTTTAGCATTTGCATATACCAGATGTTGCTATTCAACTTCTTATACCTAATTAACCATCTCTCCCATTCCATTCACAGTCTATAAAACAATGGATGTCGGTTCATAAATGTAAAAGTTGAATTTTATTTTTGTTTATATAGAAACTCTGTAAATTGTTGATTTATATGCTTTGTAGAGAATGGACACTTCTCTCCTGATAAATGAAGATTTTCACTATCATTTTTGTGTTTTGTTTACAGTCATGTTTCTCATACTCCACCTGTAAGAGTAAGAACTGGTGGTTTTCAAGATCCAGGTCCTAGTAATCAAGGAGAAAGTAGTGAGAACAATACAGTAACAGAAATTTATGATAATCTTTGTAAAGTTTTTGATGGTTAGTGATAATTTTTTCCTTTTTTTTTTATTACAGTCATGTTCCTCATACTCCACCTGTAAGAGTAAGAATTAATGGTTAGTGATAATTTTTAGCTTTTTTATTTTTATTTTACAGTAGCAGAAATTTAACCACATTAAAATTAAACTATGCATGGTGCAGGGATGTCTGATAATCTTTGTAAAGTTTTCGATGATGCTCACATGTCATCAAGAGCTCATTAGATTCAGATTCATCGTCATAATAATTTATCATTCTCTTCTCCACCTCCACCTCAAATGGAAGAATTACCCCTGTCATGACCATTGATGTAGTAGGGTCCATATCATATACTGTTCAGACAACAATAGGGTCCTCACCGGACCCCACATCATCTACTGGATCTTTTGTATATGATGTGGAAACGGAAACACCTGCCACATTCTTTCAAGATCGTCATGGCTTTGGCTTTGACAACAGTGGAGATTTATCTGATATTCTAGAAGTTGATGATGCTGATGTTGATGATAGAGTAAGTTTCTATTTCTTTGCTTAAATTTACCATCAACTTGTTTTTTTCTTTTTCTTTTAAAAAGGATTAAATGTACATTCTTTGACTTTTTTATAGCAGTGTTGTGTTCTTATACTTATATTACTACTAAAATTCTAGGTAATGTCATCCCAGTATAAATTAAGCAATACTTACTGCTATAAGTGTAACTGGGCTGATTTTTCAACTCACTACTACTGCATTCATATTTCAATTTTAGGAGCTGGCCTTTATTGAAGAGGATGTTATTGGCGGTTCACCAAAGAAGTAACTGGAGTTTTTAGCATTGTATTATTGTTAATTGCTATTTGTTTTAGACTGGAAAAGAAGAAGAGATTATTTTCTTTTATGCACTGTGCTGTATACAAAAAAGTTTACCATTTTTATACATGCGGAAATCTTTAGTCTAAGATAGAAACATTTGGTGAATAAAAAAACTAATGAAATCATGTCAAAAAGCCCTGAAAGAAAAGTAAGGATTCTATAGTAAGCAATTAATGCTAATTTTTGTATTGGACTGAGTGCAGGTTGATTCAAAGGATTGATGTCCATGTCACAGTAACCAACTTGTACCTCTTTAATTAGATGTCAACAACATGAACATATGAGTGATATTCTAATATTTTTGTATATGTTTCCAGAACCTTTACTGGGCAGACAGTGGTGATATGTTAGCAATTTCCAGTGATTCATCATTTTATATACTACAGTACCATGCTATTTTTCATGTAGCACATTTATTTTATTGTAAAGATTTTATGGATATAGTCAAAGAGCTTAGTACTAAGGAGCCAAAACGAAAGATATTGTCCTGCTCTTTTTAGAAAGGTTAGCAAAATTGTCTAAATATTTATCATACTTATAATAGTTTATTAATTAATCCAAATTCCAAGACCATCTATGGATATAGTCAAAGAGCAGGTATGCTATATGTGGGGATTTAACGCTGAAAAAGATAGTAGCTACAAGACCATCTACTAAAGCAAGGTTGGTGTAAGAGTTGATGATGAGAACATTGTTCCAAGACCTTCAGTGAGTTATGATGATGTCTCTTAATAGCAATGTAGTATTAGGTTATATAGTTAGGGATGATTATTTGTATTTGACATGTTAGTGCAATGAATTATCTTTCTTATTTGTTGTATTTTATTTTGTATTTTGTATGACATTAACTTTTGTGCAATGGATTGTATTTTTTGTATATGGTATTTTATTTTCTATTATGAGAAATTAAATGCAAATTTAATTTAAAAATTAATAAATATATAAATTAATTTTTTTTAAACATTTAAATTTACGATGCGCAAAAATATCTGTCATCTTCATTTATGACATGACGTTTCTTGACAGGGGCTTTTTTGATACGCATTGCGTGTTATTAACACGCACGTCGTAAGGTTACGACACGCAAATGCGTGTCGTCTTCCGTTATGACTGGGCCTTCCTTGATACGCATTGCGTGTCGTAAATGCGCGTCGTAAATGAGCGTCGTAAATGCGCGTCGTCTCTCTTTATGACAGGGCCTTCCTTGACGCGCATTTGCGCGTCGTCTGAGCCTTTTACGACGCGCAATGAGCGTCGTAAAAGGCTATTTTTCTAGTAGTGACCCAAGTTTCAATTGGCAGAAACTTGGAATCATGCAATGTGTATTGTATGATGAATGAAAAACTTTCATGTTTGGGAAACTTAGATTAATTCTTTGACAAAGTGTCAATTGAAGGACTAGGAGATCAAGTACACTAGGTTGTGCGTTGATCAAGTCCACCACAAGAGTGACAAAGATATTCATCATGATTTACTAAAGTTTAGTAAATATTATTATACTTATAAGATTAAGTGTAATTCTGAGTTGATTGAAAGAGTTTCAATGAATAGTAGAACGAATAAAGAAGAATCAAGTAGGCAGAAATATAAAAGTTTCTCTACTCTAAGAAAAAGGGAGAGTACCTTTTATTGTGTTTTATGATAAGTCTTAATGATTAAGAACCATGTCTCAATTGATCCTCTAAGTGAGTCTTAGTTCAATTACATGTCTAAGAAGAGGAATCGAGAATTGTAGAAATGGTTAAATCAAGAAGTCAATCATACTTCGTTCCAATATCAAGTCTTAGAGTCAAGACTGTGACTTGAGTGAAAAAGTGTTTAGTAGGTTTATAACACTTAACAAATGTGGAATTTGAAAAAGTTTTCTTATTCTTGCACATTAGAAATTGGTAAGTTGTGATGTCTTGGATAAGACAAAGACCAACTAGGACCAATTTGTTAAGTGTTTTGTCTTGATAAATGCTTCACTAACTCTTGAATATTTGTTTGTCAAGAAATGTTTCTTGACAAGAGAATCTTATATGTCAAGGAGTCAGTAGGAGTCTTAATGGTCTTGAAAAGTTTCAAGAACAAATCAAGAATAAACCTTATCGATCATCACGAGCACACGACTTGAGGTTTACAACCTATCGTGCTGACATTATTTTGTTTCTGTGCCATTCCAATTGAGTTAATTGTGTATATGAGTTCTATGAGTTCTCATTTGAATACATACTAAAGCCTTAGTCGATGGAAAGTACATTGATATGTAAGGACAAGTTACTAAACTACTTGGAAGACATGGTGGGCACTCGTGTTACCATATGGCAAGAAATCAAGATTAAGAAAGTTCAGTCCATATGAGTTTGGATTTGTCGCAAACCTTGGTTTTGGAAAATTCACATGGATAGGAACTCATACACCATAAAATCTAAGTTTCATAAGATTCCCTCCTTCATGAAAATGACTGTGAGGAAATGCTTTCACTAAGAGAGATTTTAAGAAGATAGCGATTGTGAAAATTGTATTCTCAAATTCGATTATGGTTACGGCATCCCTTTCCATAGTTCGAATTGTGAGATTTGGCAATTAGTTTCAACATTTGGAACTTAGTAACATAAGCTATGAATTGTTTAAACACACATATGAGCTATCTAAGGCAAAGGTGTATAAGGTTAAGAAGCTTAGATAAAGGCTTATCGAAGCATCTGGTACTAGAAATATGAATTTCAGAAATTCAATAGGTATTGTTTTCTGGAAGTTCATTTGTTTTCTGAATACATGTCAAAGCTAGTGGGAGCATAAATGTTATGCTTATATGATAATCATCATGATAGTGGGAGCATAAGTGTTATGCTTGTATGATTATTATGGCGAGTATTGCAAGTTAGCAATATTAATTATAGAAAAACAAAGATTCCATTTGCAAAGTTGCATGGGTTGAAAAGTTGTTTTGCTATAATTAAGGGAGAGAATATTATACTCCGTTTCAAAATCTAAAGCTTAGATTAAGAAATTTTAATATTTTCAGTCAAAGGATACATTGTGTGTTCTTAAAATTCGATTATGATTACGGCATCTCTCTTCATAGTTCGAATTATGAGAACATGACACATAAAATATTATGGCAAAAGATTGGTAAAGTATCATATCTTTATGTAAGACATTATGAATCGTGTCCCATACGCTTCGGGTATAGGATCGATTGTAAATGCTATAGTATTTTACCATTCTAAAATTTTCCAAATGTCTATCGCATTAAGAGGGAAAAAGGACTAGAATTGGTTTTGACTAAAATAATTAAACAACTATCAAAGGACTATCCAAAGTTCGCTGAGGATTGGTTGCTTGTGAGTAGTTGGGAGTATGGTATTAGATGGACCATATCGACATTATTATGAATAGATAAGATTCTATTAAGAATGGGTTGTCATGTGGCAAATGTGGAAATGTTTCCATATTGGGAGTTGGATATTGGGAATCTATGTCTAGATTAGAAACTTTATGCAAGAAGGATGTTCAAAGGAATGTACTTTGAATATGAGACTTCAAGTCTATGGAATTGTCTTGTAACAATTTCTAAGAAAGTACTTTGTAATTTCATTAGCCAAGTCTTGGTGACTTTTGTGCTATGACTTTACGAAAGGATCATTGCGTAAAATGTTAGAATCTAGCATATTCTAGTAGTGGCAAGAACCTTGTGTTCTTACACTAATAATTAGGATTAAGGAATTGTGAAATAAGAATCATTGGAAAAGTTTTCAATTGATCTATGTCACAAAGCATGGACCATAGGAAACAAAGTGTGCATATTTAGAGCATGGGGCAATTGTTATTGTAATTCAAGTAATAAGTTGATTATCCGAAACATTAAACAATAATAATGAGTAATCAATATGGTGGATAAATAGAAGTGTTTTATTTACTCTCACAAGTTTGGGGCCATATAGGATTAAGTATTATTATGTTTCAGTTTGCATGTTTTGACTTCCAGAATAACTAGGTTATTCAAACATCCACAGTCGGTCATACGTTGGGAGTAGGTATGAAGGAAGACTATCATGAATCTGTTTGTAGATTGTCAGAAGAGTTTAGACGTGGCACAAGTTTGCTGCAAAGTTCATGAATGCCTTGATAAGATTAGAGTATTGGATTAAACCCACGCTCACTTGGATCACTTCATGGATTTATCACGAGTGATTAGTGAGACGATAATATTGTATATTCTTGAAACTGAGACATGTGATTTGTTATTTGTTGGTCGGTTGCACATTGATAATAAGTAAACGCACCAGTAACTTGGTGTTAAAAAACTTATTGTTGTGTATGATTCGATCAGTAAATGCAAGCGAGCATTTGAATCGAAGTTTATCCATTCCTTTTACCCAAAGTGGGATAAAAGCGATATATGTGGGCCTCTTGATGATTTAGTGATGACACCTAAGCGCTTGGCCAAGCTGGGACTAAGTTGATGTGTTCAATTGTAGTCTGTTATCAGTCATCATAAATCGGAAGTCGGGAAACAGTATAGAGAGAATGATTGAAATTCATGTCTTTTGTGTATACGATTTCTTGAGAATGGAGGAATATATAATCCCTTATCTAGAGGACACACTATCTGATAAGATCAGAGTTGACAACGGCTTTTGAAAGCTACGATTGCTGATCAGGTTCTGAAGTCATACGGAAAATAGTTATTAGACTTATCCAAGTGGGAGACTGTTGGATTAGTGTCTAAGTCCATAACTATTTTGGTATGTACTTCACCCGATTATGAGCATGGTCCTTTTGGGTTGCCTTCACCATAGCAATATGTAGGATGATTTAAGGAGAGAAAGGTTTAAATATGATTTATTAATATATTATGAGAATAATATATTAAAGGAGAAATCATATTGGTTAATTAATATTAGTCAAGAATTAATTAAGAATTA